ATCACTCCCTTGACACCATCCTGCCCACAGCTGAAGGTTGACAGGAATCTGTCATTTCTCTCCAACTGCCCTGCAAAGACCCTAAACCAAGCCACCCTTCCCTCTGCCCAGACAATTTCAGCAGCCTCCGTAACTTCCACATCCACTATTCCTCTACAATAAGCTCTCAAAGCCTAAATCTAACCATTTCATTCCCTGCCTGAGCCCTCCAGTGGCTTCCTATGGAAAAGAAAGTAAAGAGAGCCCACCCTTCCTCCTCAAGTTCTGGCATCCACTCCTCCCCTTATCTCCTCAGGCCCAGGGACTGACATGGAGTCACCTTTGCTCACCTCACTCCTATATTAGTAGCCCAGGGTAATGTATTATCTCTGAGCGTTCTTCAATCTTCACTTTTATAATAGCTCCTTTGATTAGTTTTCTTCAAAATAACTGGTATATTGTATCTTCTTTTTGCCTACAGGGACCCTGACTAATAAAGTAATCAAAACAAAAAAATACATATAGCCAGTACAAAAATAGGCAAAGGCCCACAGCTACAAAAAATTCAAAAATAGGAAATTCAGATAGCTTATACAAGTTTTTAAAAATATTTAGCACCACTAATAAATATACATACACATACGTAAATGAATTAAACCAATGTTATGATGCCATTTTCAACCTGTCAAACTAAAAACATTAAATATTACAACTCAGTGTTGAAAAGAATGGGAGTGTATATAGGCTCTCTCAAACACTGATGTTGACTTTGTAATTTCTGGGAAATAATCTGATCATATGTACAAAGAATACTAAAAATGAACAAGTGCATTTTAAAGAATATTATCCTAAAGAGCTAATCTAAGATTTCACAAAGATTTATACACAAGAATGTTCAGCAAAGCATTATCCCTAAAGTAAATTTTTGGAAATGATGTAGGTTTCTAGAGATTTTATACCTTTTACATAAGTTGTGGTTCATCCATCTGATGGAACACAGACTTTAAAAAATCCTGTTGGAGGACAATAACTAGGGACTTTCACATTTTGTGTTAGAACTATCAGTAAGTTCTGCCTACACTATTTCAAAAATATGTTTCAAATCCAGTCATTATGAGAAGGCTGGACCAAGCTCCCTAAGCCTCTGGAATAGACAGCCATAGCAGTCTTACTAACCTGTCATTCCACCTCTACGCCAGCCCCGCCACAGTGTGACCATAGCACCACAGGCTGTGCTTGAACTGAATTAAGTTTGGCCTAAAGCTGCCTTCATGCGTATTTTAAGTTTGAACTAAAGTTTTCTCCATATAGTATACTGTGACCTAACGATGTATAAACAGACTACAACCTACTCTTGTCTCAGCCAATCACTGCAGCTGAGCGGCAGCAAACCATAGGGGCCAACTAACTATTCAAACCAGGTTCACAGTAGGACAAGCGCCATGCTGTGATCCAGGAGCTATCCATGTGCATCACTTCTGCTTTCTGTAGGTCACTTCTTTTTCTCTAGCTATAAATACAGCCTGTTTCTGTAATGAGCAGAGCATTCTGAATCGTTTTGTTCCAGATCTTTGCTAGAATCTAGACTCACAAGCAAAAGCCAATTAAAATCTGCAGAACTAGATTTGTTGTAATTTTCTCTTTTAACACTCTCAAAGCATAAACTAGATAATTTCATTCCCTGCCTAAAACCTTCCCATCGAAAGGAAAATAAAATCCAAACTCCTCTCTGGACCTCTGGAGCCCTACTAGTCTGGCCTGACTGCTTCCTGGGTCTTTGCACATATGCTGACTCTTTAGCCTGGAACAGACCTCCTGCAGATCTTTGTAGAGTTACCCTTTCTCATTATTTAGATCCCAGCTGGAAGGTCAGGTCATCAAAGAGGCCTCCCCAGAACGACTTCCATGGCTAAGGTGGCATCTTCACATTGCAAGAATTCTCTATTCCATTAGTCCTTTGTGTGTGTGTGTGTGTGTGTGTGTGTGTGTGTGTATGTGTGTGTCTGTCTGTCTATCGGTGTGTGTTCTCACTATAAAAAATATCAAAGATTTCTATCTTTGTTGCTTGTATTGCCCACCTGAAAGAATAAAAGTACTTTGGTTTTCTTATTATTCTATCACTCAAAACAATGCCTGACTCAAAGTAAGTAAGTATTTGTCCAGTCAATGACTGTGCACAACATTTATTCATTCATTTATTCACTGAGAAAAGACTTATTGACTATTCTTTGTCAGCCAGGCAGGGATGAACTAAGATCCCTGCCTTTAGGAAGCTTAAATTCTAGCAGAGGCAAGAAGCAAGACAAAATAAGCAAAAAAAGCAAAAACAAAAACAAAACTTTATACAGAGTCAAAGTCATAGAACATGACATGCCATGGGGGAAAAGAAAAACGTGGAACAGAAGGAGTTCTGAGGTGGCCAGCTAAGGAGGGTAGGTGGCAGGAAGCAGAAATGAGTTTCTAGTGTTAACGAAGGTTGTATAAGCCTTCCTAAGAAGTTTGAGAAAACTTGAAGAAAGACAAAGTTACCAGCTGATATTGGAGAAAAGTAGTCAAGGCCACAGCTAGAACCACAGCCCTAAGACAGGAATGGAGTGGAGCCAAGTGCACCGAATGCTTGCTCACTCAGAGCAATATCTACCTCCTTCTGAGGAAAGTTTCTTTCAACCTTGTGTGTGGCTGCCTGCCCCCATGATGCATGGTTTGAGGATCCATGCTTAACAAAACTAGATCTTTACCTGGGACTTTTAAATTTTTGTTTTGTGTTCAAGAAAAGGGTCTCTTTCCCTCCTGGTTGCAAAGCTAAGGATGTGAGCCAGGCTGCCAACACTCACTATTCCACACAATCATTCAACACTCATTTAATGAGTACCTACTAGGAAACAGCCTCTGCTCTATACCCTGGAACTCCCATACTTAACAAGACAGATGGGTCTCTGTTCTCATGAAGAAGAGGAATATTGTAAGTCAACAAGGAAAGAGCAATGATCATTTCAGATTGCAATGAGTTTTCTGAAGGAGTTTGTCATGGTGCTAGGATAGGAAAGGACTAAGAAGGAGAGTTATGAGTAGAATTTTGATATCTTGAAGGAATCAACCATGCACATTTCTTGGGAAGAAGAGTTCTACCAGAGATCCTGAAGTGGGAATGAACTTCACAAGCTAATACCCTTAAAGGAAATGTATTAGTCGATTTCACATCACTGTAACAAACAGGGTTTATAAGGTAAAGAGAAGTTTATTTGGGCTCATGTTTCTATAGGTTCAAGGCAAAGATTAAGCCTCTGACAAGGGTGACACATCACAGTAGGAGCACATATAGGAGCTAGTGTTCACGTCTCCAGTTAGGAAGCAGAGAGAAGGATAGAGGACAGACTTGAATCCTATAATCCCCTTCAAGGACACTCTCCCAGTGACCAAAGGACCTCCCACTAGGCCTCACTTCTCCAAAGTCCATAGCACTTCCCAGTAGTGCCACCTTTGGAAGCAAGCTTTTACATACAGACCTTTCATGAGTAATATGAAATGAGTAATAGTGTGAAGCAGCTGTGGTCAGGGTATAATGAGAAAGGGAGAAAGTGGTCCAAGGTCCATGGTCAAGGCTATGCACCTTGCAACACCAAAAAACTGATGTGCAAAAAAGAAACCCACATAAAAGGAGGTATAGCAGCAAAAGAAGGTCCAGAGATTGGACATTCAAAATATGATTCCATTCATCCTTGGAGCAGGTCCATGCCCACCCTTCCCAGACACATGAGCAAGAGAAGCCCCTCGGTACTTCAGCAAGGGTTTCTGTCACTAAGACCAACAAAACTCTGATTGAATAGAAAAGACTAGAAGGAATTATATTGAAATCATAACCACAAACTATCTGGGTCATAGAATTCACCTGCTTCTTTGCATTTTTCTATATTGTTCAATCCATTGAACTTGCTTAATTTGTACTATTTTTAAGTGGCTGAGTTTCTTATTTCTGTTTCTCACTTTGCCTTTTCTCACCTCTATGGAGGACACAGCCACAGTTGGGTTAGCAACCCTCCTTGCATCTGTGCTGTCCTTCATTCCTGCCACTGACAGGGTTTCATGACCAAATATGAAAACAGTTCAGGAATAAATGTAGCATCCTCCTCAATGCTTCTGTTAGAGTCTAGAAATAATCCCCCTCACTGATGCATTTCCAGGCTCACAAGTACCTGAAGTTACTTTGGAAAAGGATCATCTAATCTTTGAAATTGAGATTTCCTCCCACTTACAAAACCATCCCCCTAAGCACATGTGTCACAATCCAGGCCTTCTGGCCAAATGTCACAGCTCACCTTGCATCAACTTCATGAACAGTTAAGAGGGAGCCCCAACCCCCAATTTACAGATGAAGGTACCAACACCTGGAAAGTCTAAGTGATGTGCAAAAGTCCACATTTTCAGACACATCTTTCCAGAGCAAGTGAGACTTAGAACAAAGGACAAACCTGAGACCACAGAGAGACAGCTAACTCATGAGCCATGCCCAGGTTTCTGTCTGAATTATTTCTTGGCAGAAAATACCACTTTGCTATCAGGACAGTCAAGTGTAGTTAGAAGGAACTCGTGGAACAAAGCAGTTTAATTAAAGAAAAAAAATTAGTTGAGTTTCAGTGCTATTCTCTTCAATCCAAGATGGAAATTAATTTATAATAACCTTATCTTTTATTCATGTCAGGCTGCATATTTCAGAGTAGCTTGGCATCCTTATATTTTTCAGCTGAATGTGAAATAATTGTGTGTTTCTAATGAGTTGCTAGTCAGTTAGAATGCTGCAAGTACATAGCTGAGTCCCCTGTAACCATTGAGGGAAGCCTGAAGTCACAGGGGAGCAGTTCACTTGCCTTTTGATGAGTCATGATATTTAAAATTCAGAGGGCTGCTGCAGGCTTCAAAGCAGCCCTTTCAGACTGATCACTCCACAGCCTAACTCCATTAGTAGCTGGGAACAAAGAAAGCGCATTCATTTTCCTCTAACCACCTCCTTCTCTTTCCCTCAGACCAACCTGACAGAGCTGAAGTCATTCGGATCCCCGCCTCTGGCCGTCAGCAATGTCAGCGCTGCAGTGATGGTGCTCATGGCCCCAGAGGGCAAGGTGCCCAAGGACCGCAGCTGGAAGGCTGCTAAGGCCACCATGGCCAAAGTGGACAGCTTCCTGGACTCACTCATCAACTTCAACAAGGAGAACATTCATGAGAACTGCCTCAAAGCTATCAGGCCGTATCTGCAGGACCCTGAGTTCAATCCGGACTTTGTGGCTACCAAGTCCTATGCAGCTGCAGGCCTCTGTTCTTGGGTCATAAATATCGTGAGGTTCTATGAGGTGTTCTGTGATGTGGAACCCAAGCGCCAAGCACTGAGCAAAGCCACCGCAGATCTCACAGCAGCCCAAGAGAAGTTGGCAGCCATCAAAGCCAAAATCGCTGTGAGTGAACCCAGAGCCCCTTGCTGCTAACACAAGCCACACAACTTCTAATACACACAAACACCCTCTCATGCCCAGACCTAATGTTACGACTTTTAAAGAGAAATGAGGAAACCAAATACAAAATATCCTCGTTTTTCAATAGAGGTAAATTTTACATTTCTTTCTCCAACACCTTCTAGGCCAAATAAGACAAATCCCCTGGACCATTGATTTATAGTTCAGGTCTGCAAAGGTTTTCTCCTTCTCCTCTGAGGGGAGAAAAGATGACAGATGGACATGTATAATGAACGAACTGCATTGTCCATGAAGCCAACTGTTAGCCACAAATGAATTTAACATCCCTGCACGTTTGATAGTTAAAAAGAAAAGGTTAAGATTTCAAGATTTTTTTTCTTTTTTCCCTTTGAAATGTAGACTGTCTGCCCATCTCACCCAACAATATGGACATGTGGGCATTTTTTATGCAGACTGCATTGTTTCATGAAAACGTGTATGACCAAGTCATACATTGTGGTGTAGGGGTAGTCCCTTGTCCATAAATATAAAACTGTGAAAGTCATTAGCATTTATAAACACCATGTAGATATGTTATTGTTTCTGCTTCAGAACTGGGGTTAGTGATAGTGATGTAGGGGTCAAGATTTCCCTCAAACTTCACCTTTACCATTAAAATGGATGCTAACAAAGTGAGAGGTAGAAATCAGAATCCTTCTGATAGCACAGCAGTTTAAAATCTGTCCTACAGAACTCAGTTCTAACCCAACCTGTGATACCTACTGGCTGGGTCTTTAGAATGCTCAGAAGTCAGTTTCCTAAAGTGAAATGGGCACAGTGTTAGTGCCTGCTTTATGGAATTGTCCTGAGTTGAAGAAAGTCGTGCATGTAAAGCAAATCACAGCCCAGAGACGGCCTGTGATAACAAGAGCAGCAGGACCTGCCTCCAGACTGTGGTCACAGCCATTATTACTCTGTCCTCCACCCTCCTTTGCTGTGTGTGCTGTCTATCCTAAGCACATCCAACCATGTGCAAGAATCCAGTCACAACCATGATCAAGTTTAACCCAAAGAATATTCTGGAGCTTTAATTTCTATACATGCTTTCCAGGCAAATAAGATTCTTGCTACAAATTTGTCATAACAATAAAGAGTTTTAGAAATTGTGAAAAGTAGGATTATAGACATTTGACATTCCTCATGTGACACAGGCTTATTGATTGTTAGGTTGAAGTCTCTGAATGAAGGCTCTAGTTCAAAGATCCTCACAACCAATCTCTCTATTTTAAAAGGATGCATTAGCAAGACAAGTAATCTCCTCTTAGTATGCTTGCTTTGTAAATCCACATGTTCACTATTTGCTTAAAGCAGACAATCTCCATAGCTGGCCCCCTTCAAAGAACACCAAGTGCAGAATACTTTAACATTTCCATTCTGGCTTTCTAATAATGGTCATGTTTTTCAGTCTCTTCCAGAAAATTATATGAAGAATTTTCAAGGACTCTTTACTCAAGTTATTTTAGCTAAATGAACATTTGGTACAAAGGGAATGTTTTCAAAATGTTTATACCTTTTCAGTAGCCGACATTCACATGATGGGCCCACTCAACCTGCAAAAGCAAGATGGATATCTTAAAAATACTTAGCTACATTAGGAAGGCTCTCTGGCAAAATATTTTCTGGAAAAAAAAGTATTCTTGTTAACAACCTCCTCTCCATCTTTTGCTTAAACACGTACCTATCAACACCCCAAAAATGTGGACACTCTCTGCTAATAACAGGGGAGACAGCTCAACACTCATCCCTAACAAGGAGGCCTACCCAGGGCAAGGAGGTTCTTCCCTGAGTGCTGATGTGGCCATCGTATCCTTCTCCACTCGCATGCACACACACAAACACATGCACGCACACTCACATGCATGCCCGTATGTACGTGTGGTTTATTTTTAGTGTTTCAGGATAATACCAAGAAAAGAATTTTCTTTTTGGATACATAAAAGGGGTGCATATAGCAAAACACATTGTACAAAGTAATATCTATTTGATTATATAAAATGGAGATACATAGATGCTAAAAGTAATGATTATCTCTGAGTGGTAGATTTGAGTTGGTTTTTGTTTGTTTGTTTGTTTGATCATCTATGATTTCTTTCTTTTTGTGGGGAAGGGAGTGCTGGAGATCAATCCTAAGGTCTTGCACATGCTTAGGCAAGCACTCTATGTGTGTTTTCTTTTTTTTTTTTTGTTCCACAATAAACATGTATTAATGTTACAATTTATAAAAATAATCATAATAAGAACAAGTAAGGCATTTTCACTAAGCTTACAGTCACCCACAGGTAAAATATCAAATAGTAAAGAAAGGCTTCTAATGAGAGACCACAGTCCCCTTTTAATTCTTTCATCTCTTTCAACTGATTTCCTACCTACTGGCTTACCTGTATATAGTATTCATGAGTGACTTAAAAAATTACCAATATTTAAAATGGCATGAGCTTTTAGGTACAAATCTGATTTCTAGTCATTCTTAAAATAATTAGAACATTCCCACACATCATTTACTGACCCTGGAATTAACTAGTGCCTTTCCATTCAAGCGCATGGAGTTGTTATATTTTGCCATAAGCCCCACCAGCTCATATTTTTTCCATTACTAGACTCATTTGGCTAGTTTACATTATCTTCCTGCTCTCTGCTCATTTGAATTTTTAACTTCCATCCATATGCTAAGGTGATAGCTCTATTTCTTGATGGGTCTTATTCAGACAGCTGGCTGTCTGCTAGCTAGATGAGGCTATAAGTTGTTTATCCCCATGTCTTTCCAGTAAAGTACGGCAACTAGTTTTAGATGACATCATTTTTATTTCTTGTTCTAACACATAGAGGTAGCTTTTTTGGAGCCATCACTTTTTAGGGTGAAGCTAAAAATGACCCCAAATTTCAGCTCTTCTCACTTCCTTCTACCTCCCAACTTTTTTTCATCTTGACTTACTATTTTGTAATTGCCAAAATCAAAAACATCTTTATTGTCTTCTCTAACCAAAAGTAACTGTCCACAGACTCATTCATGAAATTGAAAAATCAATAAATTCCATTTCTATTATGTAAATCTGTCTATATTATTCACAGAAGATCAAGGTGGTACACTATAATTAGGTTTCTTCTTTGTGCAACCTTTACTCTCCCCCTCCTGAAGTTTCTATCTTCCTCGTTAGCTCCATTTGCACAGCCTCCATTATTTTTAAACTCTCCATTCAATCCAATATTCTGTCAAATCTTTTTTCACTAAGACCGTTCTCCCTTGTCCCCAGTTGAGAGTTTCAGCCAGTGTTGGAGAATAAATAAATGTCGTCAATTTCTTGGGTCAGTTTCAATGGCTTCTGGACCCCATTCCTCCTCTTTTCTTAGTTTATTTTTTAATTTGCTATAACTCATCCTTAAGTAACTTTCTCAGAAAATTTCAGTGAGAAGTGGATTTTCCGAATAGTGGCTGTTGAAAATGTCTTTATTCTTAAACTGAATACTTTGCTGAGTACTAAATTCTGAGTTGCTATTTTTCTCCTTTGAAACACTGGATGTTTTATGTTCTTATCTGATAAGAAGTCTAATGAACCATCATTGTCTCATTCCTGTGTGAGTGTGCTCTTTTTCTCTCTACCTAGAAATCTTTCAACCTTTCCTTCATTCTTAGTATATGAAGCTTTACATTGATGTGCTTGGTTATCATTCTTTTTTAATTCATCATGTAGACATTTATTTTCTTCAGTACTGGAAAATTATTTATTATTTCTTTGGCAATATTGCTTCTATTTTCTTTTCAGTCTTATCTTCTGCAATGTATATTGGTTGGATGTTGGACCTCTTAATTTGGTTCTCACCTTTTTGTCACTGTATGTTTCCTCAAAGTCATCTTTTAACCCTCACCTGAGTTTATTGCCTTTGCATTAATAATACAATAATGATAATTTCCACAACAGTTGTTCTCTTCTGTCCTCCTTTTAATAGCATTCTGTTCTTGTTTTATGGATGAAACATCTTGCATCTCTCTACAAAACTAGTTATGAAGGTTTTTAGTGTTGTTCTTATTGCTACTGAAAATGTAGCAATGCTTTTCCCAGGTCATTGTTTTCTTCCTGTTTACCTTAATCTAGGTTTTCATTAACATCTTGTCCTTTTGCATTCAGGAGAGTAGTAGTCAAAAGCTGATTATAACTCTACAGGTAAGAGCAGAGCTGACTGACAGAATTTGTTCCCAAGAGTAGATGAGTGGTTCTGTATGCTCTCTAAATGCCAGAATGTGATGTCTTTTCTCTGCAATTATTGACTCTCTGGCCAGGTTGCACTGCACTCTGAACATGTGTATGGAGATGCAAGGTGGGGATCAATAAGGTTCCAGTTAGCCCTCCTATTTTTAGCTCCTTAGTCAACCTGATGTTTCCAAAATCTCCAGTTTATGTGGGACTCTTCAGGCTGACTGGCTTCCCTTCTGATGAACTGTGGAAGCTGCAGCTTCCTCTGCACTTCTCCACCCAGCTCCACTCATCCATCCATGTGATATTCCATAATCTTTTGGGATCTCTCACTCTCTGTAGCCCTCACCAATTTGTTTGGTGACTTCATAATTGCTTCATAATCGTTTCGGAGATGGCTTGGGAAGAAGAGGAGGTAATTCAGTGGGGCCAGTCTGCCATCGTAAATGGGGTGACTCACCTCCTGCTTTTTAAACTACTTGGCTGTATAAACTTGGCCTTACATTTACTTCTCTAATGACCAACAAATCAGCCTGAACCCCAGTTATTACACAGACAGAGGACATATTTGGAGGTATCTGCTGGGTGTGTTTGAGTATGCAAATATGTATTCTGAGAGCAATGAATGCTCTATGCTTTAATTTGATTTAGAAAAAAAATTTTTTAATGTATCTTATCTAAAAGTGTTCCTACACTTTCTAATGAGAGGAAATAAATGAGGTTCAATAAACATTGTTTTATGTCCCTGGAGCCTTGTAGCCAGGGGAAGGCTTAGGTTCCAGACAGTGCAGCCCCAGACCAGTCACAGCAGACTCAGTCAGTATTCCTCCAAGGGCCACCCAGAGACTCATGTGCACGTGCTTGCTTCCTCCACCTGTGATGTGCTTTTGCTTCTTATAACAGCACCTGCTTCATTTTGACAGGACATGGAACCCTTTTTCCCCACCACCAGGAGAGGCAGGATTTATGCCCCCTCCTCTCCTCCATGTCATCTCACCTCACGGCTTTGACCGGGTAACTGAGGAGTCAGAGTGGGGATGCTAAGCTCTCCCAACTTGGATCAGAAATCTCTGGCTTCCACTCTGCACTCCCCCTCCTGGATGAAGCTGGGGTCCTCCCTGAAACTCCACCTGAGATCCACCCCTCATTTGTCTTCCTTTCTCCCCTGACCTGCTGTCCCCAGACACTTAGGCTCCCCCCACCCAGCACTTCCTTCAGAATCACCTCCAGGGAACATTCATTCCAGCAGCACTGGAGGTGGCTTGGGCTGGAATGACTGACTGACCCTGGATTCCTTCCTAAATAGCACCTTAATGAAAACCTGGCAAAGCTCACCGCCAAGTTTGAGAAAGCAACGTCAGAGAAACTCAAGTGTCAACAAGAAGCTGAAGTGACCGCAGGCACCATCTCCCTTGCAAACCGCCTGGTGAGTGTGTGCTTCACGGCCTGAGCTCAAATTATATTAGCAGTGCATGTCAAGCACCACAGAGGTGTGAAAGAGAGAAGTACAGCTTAGTGCTGCTTTGACTGGGGAGAGGGGGGAGTATTAAAATGTGTAGGATTTAGGGACTGTGGCCAAATTCTGTGGCAAATTGTGAAGCTCTTATCTATGTTATGTTTTGATAAGGTCTGACTAGGATTAGGAAATGAGATAGAAGTGGAAAAGAATGACTGGCCCTGAGCATTTCTGACCATGACATCCATGTGCACATGTACACACATTCACACACACACACACACACACACACACTAGCTTTCCTGAGAAAATGAGTCTGAAGGTTAGAGCAGGTTGCTTGTGTTAACAGGTGTCTGTTTCTGCCTAATAAATTACCCTAAAATTTAGCGATTCAATCACTCCACTACATTTCACAAGTTTGTGGGTCAGGAATTTGGGTAGAGTTCAACCGGCCAGTGTTTCTGCACCATGACTGGGGCCGCTCAGTGTTATTCAGCCAGTGGCTTTCTAAGCTGGAAACTCAAGGATGACTTCCTACACCTGCCAGGCTCTTCGGCAGGGATGGCTGGCAAAGTGGGCTCAGTAGGACCTCTCCCTCTCCATGGAGTCTCAGGGCCTCCCTCCAGATGGGTAGTCACATATCTACATAGTGATCCAGGACCCCACAAGGAGGTGTTCCAGGAAACAGGAAGCAGAAAGTACTATTCCTTTAAAACCTGGGACCCAAAACAAGCACAGTGTCACTTCTGCTATATTTTTTCTGTGAAAGTAGTCATGTATTCAGGAAGATGGAGATAGACATTTACTTGGTTTGTCTTGGTTTTGGTTTTTGGAGACAAGGCCTCACTATTTAGCCTAAACTGGCCTTAAACTTGAGATCCTCCTGCTTCATCCCTCTGAATGCTGGAATTACAGACAGGCACCACCATAACCAGCTTGATATCAACTCTCAATAAGAGGAGTGTCAAAGAATTTGTGGCCTTTTTCAGCCCTCCATGGTTTATATTTCTTATTATCTCTAGCAACTAAAGTCCTACAATAAGCAGTTGTCTGGTGGATGTGATTTTTCTTCAGTGCAGAGCCCTTGGAGCACCTTCCTCACCATTAAGGGAAATAAAATCGATTTCTTTTCACATTTTTTCCAGTCACTGGCTATTTACATAATGAAGCCAGATTTTTTTTTAATTTAGAGAGAAATGAGTCAGCCATCACTGACCTGAGCCATGCTGTAGTGAAGAAAGTCTATACCATGAGGATATGGCTGTGCAGTTGTGTGGGGAGCAGCTGTTGCACAGCTTTGAGATAATCTACTTACCCAAACAGCTTGCTTAGAGACAGCTGTCCTGCAAATGTACAAGAAGCCATCCAGACAGTCTGCTGGCTGCCTTCTACTCAGCTTCCTGCTTGATTTCCAAAACCCAGCATAGCCTGCTCTGCCTGGCTGGAGCACCTTCTGAGTTGGTTCTCATGGAAGGCAGATAGCACCCACTCTAGGTGACTCTGAAGCCACCTCTGCCTCTACCAATAGCGATGCTGGGGAGGTGCTTGAAACTTTCTGATCTAATCCAGAAATGGGAATGGTTGGGTTGGCAAATCCATCAAGGCTCTCCCAGCTCTGACATTGTATGCTGCCTTTGTTTAAGGCCAAAATAAATAGTAAGTCCTAACACAGAAGTTAAGCTCCATTGTACACATAAGAGTCCTCCACAGAAAGGACAGGGGTGCCATCCCAAAGTGGGCTGGCCAGTCAGGATGTGTTGTGTACTTGTAGTACTTTGTACAGACCCGTGTACTTTCAGCAGTTCCAACACTGTCTTAACTGCCATGCCTTTCTCCCCATACACTGTGAATTATTAATAGCACACAGACCTGATTTCCTCTATTTTCATTTCTCCGGCATCCATTGAGAAGGGAGAGATCCCTAACTTTCTAACACGTCTAACAGACCATGTAAGGGATTAACATGCACCACATGGAGGATATATTCAGACCCCCAAGAATGTTTTGGAGTGGTCAGATCCATCTCCACATGTGGAAAGGGCAGAAACCAGCAGCCTGCATTCATGACCTGTCATCTCTCCATGGCCCACACAGCACAGAACCGGGACCAGTTTGCTGAAGTGTTTGCTGCAGCCAGGACAAATCTCCGTTGATAGAGAGGGCTACACAAATGATGTCCTGAGACTTCTAGCTGTGAAGTGCAGCATGTGATATTCAAGACTGATCCACAGCCTGTAGCCTGTGGTATGACACCTCTTCTTTCCTCTCGGCCTTTGAAATGACAGGTTAGAGGACTCGCTTCTGAAAACGTGAGGTGGGCAGAAGCTGTGCAGAACTTCAAACAGCAGGAAAGTACGTTATGTGGAGACATTTTACTTACCACAGCTTTCATTTCATACCTCGGCTTCTTCACAAAGAAATACAGACAGACCCTCATGGATGGGATCTGGAGACCCCACCTGAATCAGTTGAAAGTACGTATGACCTGACAGAATCAGCCCACAGGTACCATGAGATCACATGACCATAATATCTCAAATCCTCTATCACCCTCTTGCATCCTCAATCCTGCCACCTTCTGAGCACCAGGCATGAGACATGCACACCAGTGTCCGTGTACACTGCCTTGCATTTTGGTCCACTACCCTCTAGGCCACTAGAGGACAGAACCTCACCTCTTAATGAGGTTCTCCCTAGGAACTCTGGTCTTCTGGCCAGAGGTTGTCTCCTGGCTCCCCTCAAAGCTATAAACCTGGAAGACATCAAAAGACACTAAAAGATCTCCAGAGCCAAATAGGAGTAGGCAAGGAAGTTCCCCTTCCCTCTTTATTGTACCTTGTCACTGGGCCCCAAAGCTTCATGATTTGTGCCCATGGCTCAGAGACACCATTATGAAAATAGCTTTGTCCATCACAACTCAGGTGCTTTCTTCATGGGCTGTGCAGCTGGCCCTCTTCATGTAACTAGGTAGATTTTACTTACCACCCCTCCCTCTACATCTCTCCCCTCAATATAATGAAGTGGAGAAATCCCAGCTCTAATTTAAGGGGCTGCCAAGCCACACCTGGACCCTATAGAATAGTTCCTGATGTTCTCTGTCTTATTCTCAGCACTTGTGATGATCAGCCCTTAAACACTCACTAAGTGTTCATTGTGCCCTACACACCATTAGAAAGGAGGTGAAAAGGACATTGAAGGCCAGGATGCCTTCAGCACAATCATAGTCCAGTTGAGGAGATTAGATTCATAAAAATCAGCTACAAGAAGAGTTATCATAGAAAATTCACAAAATAAAGTCAGGAATATATTCCAAAGCCATTGGTAGCTGTATTCTTAGAATACGAAACATTTGCAGAGTGATGGTTTCTCAGATGAGCACATAAAATCCTACACACATGAAGATTTGTTTAACTCTGGTTTAAAAACTGGTACGGTACTAGGAACAGTATTAGTTAAGCTGTTACTAACATGGTGGTATAAGTTATCTTAGCTAGTAGTGTTGACAGTGCTGGTTAAGCTGTACTTTTGTTCATCTTAAACACTTGTGAAAAAAAGAAATTGTTAAAAGAACCATCAGCTAGGTAGCAATGTATGCAGATTTTTCTGAGTTTGTTTGGGGTTCTTAAATATTTTGGTGCCATAGACTCCTTTGGCACTGTCCTAGTCTGTTTTCAGCAGCTATAACAGAATATCTGAGGCTGAGAAATTAATTTAAAAATGGAAACTTATTTGGTTCACAATTCTAGGGCCTTGGAAACCTAAAGGTATGCCTCTGGCATCAAGTGAAGGCTTTCATGTTGTGTGACCCCATGGTGGAAGGCAGAAGGGCAAGAAAGGATGAGAGCCAGAGAGCAAGATTGTGGCTGAACTCAGTGAAATAACAAATCCACTCCCATGGTAACTAACCCACTCCCTCAATAATAACAGTAATCCATTTTGGAGGGCAGAGCCCTCCTGAGCCAATCACTCCCTATCCCAGCACTTGCACTGGGGATGAAGTTCTAACACATGAATCTTGGGGGAACACATTCAAACCATTGCAGGCAGTTTGGTAAAGCCTATGAATTACTTCTCAGAATAATGCTTTCATGCATAAGATTACAAAGAAAAAAATATTGAAACACATTTCTGATCCCAAATAAGATCCCCCAAGGGCCTGATTTCCCTTTAGAGACTTGCTTGATGATATAGTACAAGCCAACTGAGCCCTTAGTAGATACAATTAAAGAGACAGGAGATGGTTTGGAGAGTTTTCTGCTGGTAATTGTGCAACACAAACAAGAGAGGGGGAGATGGAGGAATTAAAAGGGTGTGTGTCTGAACCTCAAAAACATTATGCCAAGTGAAAGTAGTCACACACAAAAGGTCATCCCTTGTATGATCTCATTTATGTTAAATAACTGGCACAGAAAAATACATAGAGGCAGAAAACATATTAACAGTTGCCAGGAGTTTAGAGTAAAGTGGGTAGTGATTGTTTAATGAGTGTGAGATTTCCTTGTTTTTGTTTGTGCTTATTTAAGGGCTTTTCTATTCTTTGTTTGTTCGTTGTCAGTTCTGGGGATTGAATCCAGGGCCTCATGCATGCCAGGCAAGCACTCTACTACCTGAGCACACCCACAGACCTTTTGTTTTTATTTTGTTTTTGGGACAGGGTTTCATTATCTTTGCCCAGGTTGGCCTCAAACTTGAAATCCTCCTGTTTCAGTTTCTGAGTAGATGGGATTATAGGTGTGAACCACCATGTCTGGCTTGAGATTTCCTTTGGAGGTGATGAAAATGTTTTGGAAGTAGATAGAGATGATGACTAGACAACACTATGAATACACTTAATGCCACTGAACGGTGCACCTCAAAGTGTTTAATTTTATATTGTGTAAACTTTACCTGTTTGAAAGACATAGTATATGAGTCATCAATGAAAAAAACACTTAGAGAATAATTAAGTGAGCTAGCAGAGGCAAAAGAGAAGAAAAGTAAGGGTCTGGTATCCACATGGGACCCCTGAGGCTGCGGGATGCTCGCCAGCTTCCTGGCAGGCACCAGCAGACATGTTTTCAGGGAGGGGACTGCAAGCAGCCTGGGAGTGGGATGTTGGGGATGAGAGAAAGCAAGCTTCTCCAGCTCCTGGTAGGCTGGTGAAATAGATATGAGGACAGAGCGGCTCATGTGGGGTGGTGCTGATGGGAGAAAATCCACTAGACATGTGTTTGGGGAACACATTCAAACCATTGCACTCAGTCTGGTAAAGCCCATGAGTTCTTGCTTAGATTGATGGTTTTTATGCATAAGGTCACAAAGAAAAAGTATTGGGTCACATTACTGATCCCAACGTAAGAACCTCAAGGAACTGGTTTCTCATGTGCTTGATTTCTTATGACTTGAGGAACACAGATGAGAAACAGAAATGTAGTAGAGAAATCAATGTACACATGGTTGAGGTTTGTAGGGGGTTATAGATTAAAATATAAATAACCTACAGTGGAAACTTGATTTAGGTGACTATACCAAAGAGCTACAAGTTGGTCAAATAGGCTGAATTTCTGTTGTTCATCTATCAAGAGAAAAAAATGCTATCAGGGTTTTAACAAAACCTGCTTCCAGAAATAATCACACCACCAGGAAAGCACTCTTCAGGGCATATTGATCTTGCTTTTAACAGAGTTATGTCCTATGGTGAGATACTGTGTATTCATCGCCACTGAGAGACCAGTCTTCCATTCTGAGCATGTGTCACCTCTTTACCAGGTTTCTATCCCCATCACTCCCACCCTGGACCCCCTAAGGATGCTGACAGATGATGCCAACATGGCCACCTGGCAGAATGAGGGCCTCCCCGCAGATCGCATGTCTGTGGAGAATGCTACCATTCTCATCAACTGTGAGCGCTGGCCACTCATGGTGGACCCTCAGCTGCAAGGCATCAAGTGGATCAAGAACAAATATGGAGAGGGCCTTCGGGTCACCCAGATTGGTCAGAAAGGGTAAGTAGCAGAGCACAAAAGTCATTGTTTTTGCCATTTGTGCAAGGGAAGAAAATGTGAAGAGCACATATGAAGCCCTAGAGGCTTCTTGCTCCTCTCCATATCTCTCCAGAAGAGACATGAGGAACCTCTTGATTTCCCATTTTAAGAAACATTGGTGAAAGGTGCCTGTCTACCAAGTCTTTGCATCTCTTTCTCATTAGAAGTCATGTGTTTCCAGAGGGGAGACTAGAGTTCACAACAACTTATTATATGTTTTATAAAGAACCACAAGAGAGGAATTTGAAGTTTCCCAATACAAATAAATGAATATTTAAGGAGTTGGAAATCCCAATTACCCTGATCATGACATATGCCTATGTGTATCTAATTATCATTCTGTACGCCATAAATATGTACGGTAATTATATATCAATTAAAAATGTGCTCAACCCATTCAGAAGTCTTTCCCACCATATCCCTGGTATTCATCCTCTCATCTCTGCCTGAACACTTCCTGCCTCCCAAAACCTCCTTATCAGAAAACTGTTCTACAAAGTCTTCACATTTAACCAAAGGCTGCTTCCCTTACCGCTCCTCTATCTTTCTGTTCCTATTGCTGCCTTAGAGTCATATAAAACAAACTTAAACTCTCTTTCTGCCGAGGCATAATCAGACATTTCAGTTAGTCACATGGCAGCTGAGTTAGAAAAGCTCTAGAACCCTTTGTACCTGCCACACAGCATTGTAAATAGATGATGGAGATGTTACTCCATGAAGGGATGCAAATGGCAGAGAAAATGCCTGGCCAATGTCCACCACACTTCACCAGCCTGGGGCTCAGCACCTGTCACCCCATCACTTCATTAGCACCATTGTAGCCTGGCTTTGCACTTCCAGCACTCAATTCTTGTTCTCTGTCACTAGGCCCCATGGAGAAAGCAGGATGGGACACTAGGGAAGAGGCAGACACCATTCATTAGAAGTTGACAGATGCCAGTCTTGGTGGTAGAGGCTTTATCCCAAATTCACTCTTTAACCCATACAGTCAGTAAGGTTAGAACCATTGGTTCCACTTTGTACGTAAGGAAAATGAGGTTCACAGACATTAAATTTCCCAAGAGGGACATGGTGGATATTTTACACTAATGTTCAGAGGAGCATTATTTACAGTAGCCAAGCCAAGTGTGTTCATTACAGATGAATGGATAAGCCAAATATGATACAAACTTACCGTGGAATATTATTCAGCCTTAATAGGAGGAAAATTCTGACATATGCTACAATATGGGAAGATCTTAGAGATTTTACCATCATTAAAAATGCAGTCATACATGTCAATTACTGACAGGGATACATCCTGACAGATGCATTGTTAGGCAGTTTTGTCACTGGGCATACATCTTAGAGTGTCCTTACACACATAGCCTAAGACAGCTATGATATCACTAGGCTTTATAATTATATGGGACCACTGTCAGATACACAGCCCATAGTTGACTAAACTGTCATTCCATGGTACATGACTATACATTAGTTACCTTTTTTTAGTAATGGAGGAAATATTTGAACTTAGGTCATCCTCACTTTGAAACTCAAGACTCATCCACTCTAGCACACGGCTACTGCTGAGGTTTGCTGCCCAAGCCATGTTTCCTCCATGTGCTCTCCCAGGGGTCCTCTTTACTCAGGGTTGTTTAAGTCAAATGTACAATGATAAAAATAATAGTTAAAAAAGCAAATATTGAATTACAAAAATGGATCCCTTTTATAGCATGAACTTTGTTAAGAAATGAACACTTAGATGGGACAAGATGTGTTTTATCTGTATCTTAGTCACAAAAAAGTCTAACTCTGGACTAATTCTCAAATGTTGATTAAATAATTTCCTTCTATTGACTAAATGCATTTTAGGCAGAAGTCTGTGTCTGTTTTGCTCGTTGCTACAAACCTCCTACGTACACATCATAGGCCTTCGATAAATATTTGTTCAATTATTCTCTGTTCATGTCCACTGATTACTTTTCTCTTGGGTGGTTTTCTAGATTTGTTGTATATTATTTGAGTACAAATATTGTATTATACATAACGTGTCATGAATGGAAATTTGTTCAAGTGTCTTACTTGCTTTTAATTTTGTTTGTGAGGTTTTGACATACTGCCATTTATTTTGTTTTAGTTTTTATTTGGTCAGACTTGTCGCCCATTTCTTCTATGGACCATACTTTTAAAAAAATTTGTCTGCAGAAATTATTTAAATCTTCACCTATATTTTTAGTTCCTATGGATTTTCTTTTTACATTGAAATCTGGTGTCCTTAAATTTATTTTAAGGTCCTAAATGAGGTACAGACTAATTTTCCAACTGGTTAGCTATTGTTCCAATACCATCTATTACATTTTCCATCTTTTCCTAAGTTAATTAGAAATGCCATTTTGCTATTCTAAATTATTTTATTAGGCATGGCCTTTATTCTTTTTGTGCATCTAATAGTACACTAGTTTTTAATTATTTAGTTCTATATTTAGTAACACTGTTGTCTCATCACTATAAAAAATGTGGGGAGGAGTTACTATAAGAAACAAAAAAAGAAAAACTATAAATCACTATTCAAAACCCCTGCTAATTATTTATTTGATCTATTTTAAGACTTCTTTGTATATATCTGTATTATTTACATTATGTAAAATATTTTAGTACTAAGCTGAGGGTTGTGACCTATAATCCCAGCTACTCAGGAGGTGGAAGCAGGAGGACCAGCTCAGCCAATGTTAACAAGACCCTATCTCAAAAACAAAAAGCAATATAAAAGGGCTGGGAGCATAGCTCAAGAGGAGAGCAAGTGTGAACGCTTGCTATAATCCCCAGCACCACACCAAAAAACTAGCATTCAATAATATGAGTTCCTCTTCTTCTTCATTATTATTTATTTATTTACTTATTTATTTGTGAATTTTTGGTGGTACTAGGCAGGCACTGTACCACTGGAGCCATTCTGCCAGTCCTTTTTTGTGATGGGTTTTCCCAAGAGAGGGTCTCACAAACTATTTGCCCAGGCTGGCTTCAAACTGCCATCTTCCTGATCTCTGCCTCTTGAGTAGCTAGAATTACAGGCATGAGTCAAAAGCACCTGCCCATTTTATTTTCTTTATCCCCTCCTTGCATTCTTTTAAGTTAATCTTAAGATCTTGGGTCAAGTTCTATCACATTTTATCCTTATTTTTTGCTTGAATTGGAATTAAGTCAAACTTACAAATTGACTTAGGGAAAATCAGCCTATTTCCATGTTCATTAAACTCTTTGAATTTTTCTACTGAAAAATTCAAAGCAACCAGGTCATTATTAAATGATTGCTAAATAAATTCAGTTATATAAATAGAGAATAATACACACTCATTAAAAATTGCTTTAGAAGAATATTTAGCAGCATGGGGAAATATTTACAAACATGTCATGGACAAAAAGTAGATTATAAAACAAGAGTGCCATATTAATTCAATAATGTAAAAACTAAACTTGAAAATACAATACAGTCAGACCTCCATAGCCATAGGTTCCACATCCTCATACATCAGAAACATCTGGAAAAAAATTGCATTTGCACTTCACATGTACAGACTTTTTCCTTGTCATTATTTCCTAAACACTACAGAATAACAACTGTTTACATAGCATTTATATTGTATTAGATATTATCAGTAAAAGTATATGGAAGGATTACGAAGGTTATGTATAAATATTACACCATTTTATATAAAGGAGCTGAGCATCCATAGGTTTTGGGATTCACAGAGGTCTAGAACCAATCCCCTATGGTTACCGAAGAACTGCTGAATATCCAAATGCACACAGTAAGCAACAAATTGTTAATAATAGATGGAAGGATTAGGGTTCATTTTCACATTCTTTTTTGTATTTTGTAATTTCTCCTTATTTTTAAAAATGTATAAAATCACATAAATGTCATTTTAAATAAGAAAAATGTGGCTGATGATGACATTTTTAATAGCTGTGCCTTTGAGGCCACAGTTGTCTTGTTAAATTGCCTCTGAATTCATGCCTTGCCACAAGCTCATGCTGCCTGATTTGCTCCCCTAGTTACCTGCAAACCATAGAGCATGCCCTGGAAGCTGGAGATGTGGTGCTGATTGAAAATCTGGAGGAGTCCATTGATCCTGTTCTGGGACCTCTGCTTGGGAGAGAAGTTATTAAAAAAGGACGGTAAGACTTAGATGTGTGGTTGTCACTTTGTGAGGAGCTGGTTCACAGCCCCTGTTAAAACTGTGGAGAGGTCTGCTCTTCCTAGAATCTCCTCTCCTCAGCTAATGTCAAGTAGCTCCTGCAGCTGGAATACTTCCTCTCTTCCAACACAGGGCTCTTTAGCTGCCCTCTGCCCCTACAAAAGGTTTCCTGGAATAGACTTTGCCTCCATCCATCAACAACTCCTTGACTTCCATCTAAAAGGCTGTAGAATACAATTTGGGAGGAACTTTAAAGGAAAGTGATCAAAGGCAGAATAACTTTTAAGATGAACTTTTCATGCAAGCTAGACATCTGAGTTCCGAGAACTGTGCTCCTTATCAATTTGAAGCACATCTGTGTCTTTGGATGCTAGTCACATGATCAGAGCTTGTCAGGTACAGGCCAGAGAGAAGAGGCGATAGGGGAGAATGAGAGAAAGTAGAAGCCTATCAATATGTATGATAGGAAGTGATAATTATTATAAAGGCATGCTGTCTTAAGTCTGTTTTCTATTGCTGAATCAAGATATCTGAGACTGCGTAGTTTATAAAGAAAATAGACTTATTTAGCTTACAGTTTTGGAGACATGACATCTTACCTTTGGTGCATCGTAACATGGTGGATGACATCATGGAAGGAGTACATATGAAAGGGAGAGAGGTCATGAGGTGAGATAGGAAACAAGAGACCGGTGAGGGGCCAGACTCACTCTTATTATAACAACCATGCTCTCAGGAACTAGTCTACTCCTACCAGACCTGACAACATTAATCCTTCCCAGGGCAGTGCCTAATTACCTTCTACCATATCCCACTTCTCAAACTTCTACCACGACAGTACTGTCACACTGGGGACCAAGCATATCAACAAGCCATATCCAAACTATAGCAGAAGTCTCATCCTCAGCTCAGGCTCTAAGTTGCTTTTCCACATATTTAGGTTGTGCCCATTTATGCATTTAGTTATTTTCACCCATTGAAATCATTCTGTCAGCCATTAGAAAAAGTAAGCCCAGAAGCACTTTTGTCCAAACTACAAGAGGACGCTTCCTCTAAACCCTTTACTGCCATCTGCTGGAGCATTTCCACAGTATCCTAAATTATATTGATTACAATGGGAATTGCTCTCCCTGGAGTTGCACAGTGCAAAATCAAACACGGTGGACAAGGGAGGAAGTCCATATATTTCCATATCTGTTCCCCACATTAGGAGAGAGAAGGATCTTAAGGTGCATGATAGACATGCTGAAGAAAAATCCATCCAAATATGGCCACATTGTTGGCTATGATCTTCAAAATAAATTTTTAATTCTGTCCCTGAACAAATCTCACAGAAAGGTACTCCACTTTCACAAAAGCCTTTATGTTTCAGATTCATTAAAATTGGAGACAAAGAGTGTGAATATAATCCCAAATTCCGGCTCATCCTTCACACCAAGTTGGCCAACCCTCACTATCAACCTGAGCTGCAGGCTCAGGCCACCCTGATCAACTTCACTGTGACCAGGGATGGCCTGGAGGACCAACTGCTGGCTGCTGTGGTCAGCATGGAGAGGCCAGACCTGGAGCAGCTGAAGGTGCGTTGGGTGTTCATTGGGGAAAGAAGGAAGAGAGGGAGGAAGGAATGCTCTGCCACTCTAGGAGTGAGGCAAGAGGGCTGTTTTTCCTGGAACCAAGCAGGGTGGGCTCCGCAAGCCATTGAAAGAGTGCCAATCCCATCCAGCCACAAGGGAACACCATGTTGGGAAAGGGAGGATGTGGTCAGCTGAAGAACAGAGGCAGAGGACAGTTGGGAGAACAGACACTCCTGTCACCGATAGCAGGGTCTGGCACAGGACTTTAACCTCTGAGCACACATGCTCAAATTCTGACATCCAGAACAAAATGGAATTAAATTTGGCAAAGGTAACAGAAATGGGTTCAGCCCTGCTAGTGCTGTGTCTTAGTCAGCTCAGGATACCATAACAAAATATCATGGACTAAGTAGCTTAAACAACAGACTAGAAGTCTGTGGTCAGGGTGCCAGCATAGTTGGTTTCTGGTGAGGCCTCTCTTCTTGGCTTTCAGGCGGCCACCTGTCTGTTACATGACCTTTCTTATACATGTATAAAGAAAGGAAAAGCTGTCTGGTGTCTCTTCTAAGAGCACGAATTCAATCCAACCAGGGCTCCACCCTTATGGCCTTATTTAACCTTATCACATTCCTAAAGTCCCTATTCCCATACAGTCGCATGAGAAGTTAGGGCTTCAACATATGACTTTGGGAGGAGCACAATTGAGTCCATGGCAGGTACCATGCTTGGCTTCCTCTCTTTGAAGGTGATTAGATTAAATATTATTATATTAAAATTACAGTATTTGTGAGACTGAGCTCAAGGTTCCCTGGGACTCTGCCAACATTTACTTATGAAGCACCAAATCCTTAACAGGCAAGATTATATGCACAGAGGATTCAACAGTGACCAAGAAAACTATGTCCCTGTCTACATGGAGCTTACAGTCTAGTGGAGGAACACAAAAAATAAGAATTCAAACAAAGAAATAATGTCCTTCCATCTAATGAAAAGAATTTTGAAGAAAATAAAGCAGAGCAATATTAGAAAACCAGACGGCTCATTTAAACAGTGGTGGTCCTCAAAAGATTCTATGAGGAGATGGTATTTAAGCCAACTCTTCCTATTTATTCTAATAATTTGAAAGCCTGTGGGTACAAAATATCTCGGGCAAAGAGAGCAGTGAATTCTAGTCTTTTAGGGCAAGATTAAGGCCTATAATTTTAAGAAATCAATATAAATCCAGGTGCAGTGGTTCATGGCCTGTAATCTTAACTCAGGAAACAGAGATCAGGAGAATCAGAGTTTGAGCCAGCTCAGGCAAATAGTTAGCAAGAACCCATCTCAACCAAAAAAATCTGAGCCTGGTGGCTCTCACCTGTCATCCCAGCTATGTAGAAAGTGTAAGTAGGAGGATTGAGGTCCAACTCAGCACAACCATAAATATTGAGATACTATTTGAAAAATAACTAAAGCAGAAAGGGCTGGTGGTGTGGTTTAAATGGTAGAGTGCCTGCCTAGTCAGTGCAAGGCCTAGAGTTTAAATCCCAGAATCAAAAAAAAAAAAAGAAGGAAGGAAGGAGGAGTGAAGGAGGGAGGGAGGAAGGAGAGAGAAAGAAAAGGAAGGAATAAAGAAAGGAAGGGAGGAAGGGAGGGAGGGAAGGAGGGAGGGAGGAAGGAAGGATGGAAGGAGAGAGAAAGAAAGAAATAGAACATAGATCAGGGTGGCTATGGTTGAAGTCTCAACACATAGGTGAAGGTTGATTTTTCCACAGATCCAAAAGCTGCACAGGCAAAGAAGCTACAGCTACCTGACAATAACTCCCCAGTCCCCAAATAAAAATAAAAAGTGCCCAGTGGAAGCATGGCTGAAATGGTAGCACACTTGCCTACCAAGCACAAGGACTTGAATTCAAACCCCAGTTCTACTAAAAAAAAAAAAAGTGCCCAGTGCTTTAAGATAAAGCCTAACCATCAAAAGGGAAGAGTAGGTGAGACACCCGGATGCCAGTTCCCTTCCAGCCTCAAGAAGCTTTTGTAAGGTTCTTGTCTAAACCATACAGGACAGTGTATTTTGGTCTTTTCTTTTAAGTAATCCATGGGAGAGAGCTACTCATTTGGGACAGTAAAGTGACAATAGAGAGGACCTCCAAAGAAGGAAAATTTGACCTTACCTTCAATTCACAGCAATAAATTCCATTTAATGACATTGACTTTATCAGCATAAGCATAGCACAGAACTCATAAGGGTAGGGACTGGGATTAACCACGATGAAATTAGTGACATGTAATGAGTGTGAATCAGCCTAAGGTCTCATGCCCAAAGCTGTCATCCCTCTGCATGAGTGGAGATGGGGGTCCAGGACTCCCTCTGAAATACCAAGACCAGCTAATACTCAAGTCCCTTAAATAAAATCATGTGGTACTTGCATAGAACCTACACACATCCTCCCATATACTTTAAATCAACTCTAGATTACTTACCATACCTAATGCAATGTAAATGCTAGGTAAATAGTTGGTATGCTGTGTTTTTCAGGAAATGATGGCAAGAAAAAAATCTGTACATGTTCAATACAGATGCAATTTTTAAAACTATTTTCAATCCAGGGTCAATGGAATTTGCAGGCACAGAATCAGCAGATACAGAGGCCAACTATGTGTGGTACAGTTAGGATTGGACTCATCTGCTTGCCTCTTCAGCTGATCTTTTGCTCACTGCCTCAAGCACTCTGCTATTTGCCTCCCGTTTCCTCTCTCTAAGGAGAGGTGTTCTGGCCTGATGAACATTTATTTATGTAAACCTGTCTTGAGAGTAGAATATTCTCGTGTCTCTACCTGACTCCATCTTACTTGATATTTGCAGTCAGATCTCACAAAGCAGCAGAATGGATTCAAAATTACACTCAAAACATTAGAAGACAACCTGCTGTCTCGCCTCTCCTCAGCATCTGGGAACTTCCTTGGAGAAACAGCCTTGGTGGAGAACCTAGAGGTCACCAAGCAAACTGCTGCAGAGGTGGAGGAAAAGGTACCTTTGCTCTGATGAGTCAGGGAAAGCAACTAAGGCCAGGTCCTCCTGCAGTTTTCTCTGCTCTCAGTGCATAGGTCTGACTTTCAGAAAAATGAAGTCAGAGTAACAGGCAGAATTTCCATCTTCTAAAGTTTCCTCTAGGAAGTCCAGCTAGGCAGGATTCCTGAAATGGCTACCTCTGTGCTGTACCTCACTTTCAGTGCAGGGGATACTGCATAAACTGAAAACTTCAGATTGTGGAATTGCCCTGAAGCTAAGGAGTCACGCTGCCAAGGAATCACAGTAAAAGTTGACTGATTTGGGTGTCATTGCATACTGCGAAAACCCACTGGACTGACAAAATCTCACAAGTCTGATTTTAGTGAGAAAATTTCAATGATTTATGAAGCTCAGTTCTCAACAGCTATATCATCCTGAGAAACAGTTATGGTCTGTAGCATCCTTACTTTATATCACAGTGCCTGGAAGGCTTTCATTCCCCCTTGTGAGGTTTAGAAGACAGATCCCAAACCTACATAGGCCTTTTTGCATTTTCAGTCCTGCTCTTAGATAGGAAGACCAGCATAACACTGGTTCTGATTAGGACATCACACGTCTGTAACAGTGTCCATGAGCAATATGCTATTACTAATTTACTGGGATTACCCCAAATGTGAAATACTTTGTTCCAGGTAGGGATAGAGTAGAAAAATGAAAAGTGGGGTAGGGGTGTAGCTCAGTGGTAGAGTTCTTGCCTCATATAGTCCCTAGCAATGCAAAGCAAAAAGAAAAAAATGGGAAGTAATGATGAGTGAACAGATAACCCAGGTCACACACACTCCAGACAATTTATCACTCAGGTTGAAGTGCTGATTGCAAAAACAAATTCCAATCTACCATTGGTTCAGCAAGCTGCTATGTGACCACCAGGTTTTACTGCCAGTTATCTGTGGCCTGGACATTTCAGAAGGGTGGTATGTGAATTTATAAAGTAATTATGATAGAAAGTCCACTGCTCTGGGCCAGAGATACCCATCTCACACAGAGGGAGTAGGTCAGATGATAACATCAACCATAGTCATCTCTTCTTGCTGCCTCCTCACCCAGCTTTCTTTTATCTTTTCTTGAAAATCAATGGACAGTTGTTGAGTACCTACTGTCTGCCAACTGTCAAATAAAACTGTTTTGTTGTTCCATTTTTTAAAATCTTTTTTCTCCTCATTCATCCAATGGATTCTTATTAGGAGGCTAATATATTCCAAATTCACTAACAAAAGATGGACTACAACAGGGAGCATGAGGGATTGGAAAGAAAAGGAAAAGGGGCTGGTGAGGAAAGACTTAAATTCATAGGAATGAAAGGGAATGTTTAATATGGTAGGATACATATAAAAGTTAGGGGAAATATAGTCAGGTCACAGATGAGAAGCTTGTCTTCAAAAACAGTGGATAGTCCATTTCCAATGTCATAAGGGATAAGGAAAAACGTGAGTCCAGAAATGGGTCATGGGCCTATTGGGGCCATGTGGGCAACTGGGATAGGGAGACAGATAATTAAGGTAATATGCGAGAGGAAGAAATTAAGGTAACTCATTCCTAATGGTCTTGGCAACTTTTTTTTGAGTCATTGTCTCATTAGGTAGTCCAGGCTGGCCTTGAACTCAGTATCCTCCTGCCTTAGCCTCCCAAGTGCTGGGATTGTAGCACCATGCCCAGGTCTCAAGATGCCTCTATATAGTCATGCATAGCTTAACAACGGGATGTGTTCTAAGAAGAGCATCATTTTGAGAACATCACAGAATATATTTCCATAAACTAAAACAGTTTAGGTAGCATAGTCTTATGGGACCACCATTGTTCATGTGACCTGTCAACCAAAAATGTCATTATGTGGCATTAATGACTATAATTTGGGAGCATATGAGTCAACTTTATCTGCTGAGAGTGAGGGAATAGTGAGGAGGTGAGAGCTTGGGGAGAAAAAAGTTGGTTAGAGCATGGAGACTAGTGAACAGCACTAAGGACTCAAGTGAGGTTGAAGGTGAGGTAAGGACACTGATCTGAGCATTTATGGGTCTTTATCCCCTCCTAAGGATCTTGGTCTTTTACCTACTTAACCAGTTTACATTTATTAGCAACATGGACACACATAGTTGAATTTCTTTCTACTATCTTTTTTTTTTTTCTTTCTACTATCTTAATTGTCATTTTATTAATGAGCATTTTTGTTTCCTCAAACAGTAATCATTTCTCTGTGTATGGCCTTTTATACTTTTCTGCTCTAGCTATTTTGAAAGAGATCATAGCTTGTTGTAGACTATAATTATCCTGTGAGGTTACAGGACAGCAGGACTATTTACTCCTCGCTAATTGTGTTTGGGTGCTCCCTATCTAGCCTCTCTCCATCCCATCTCCTCCCCATCCAGTTTCTAGAGACCACTCTACTTCTATGAGATAAATTTTTGTAGCTTCCACAAATGAGTAAGACCATGGAGTAGTTATGTCTTTCTGCCCCTGACTTCTTTCACTTGACATAATGTTCTCCAGTTCCTTCTACTTTGTCACTAGTGTCAGGATTTCATTCATTCTTTTTTTTTAGTTTTAACAAGGATTTATTTCGGTATAGCAGGTTAAAGTATAGACAGGGGATGCGGGGGAGAGAAAAAGAAAGAGACATTTCCTGCCCTCATGCAGGAAATGGGAGGAAAGACTCTCGTTCTTTCATTTGGTTGAATAATATTCCATTGTTTATATGTACCACATTTTCTTTATCTGTTCTGTCCATGGATATCTAGGTTGGTTCCATAGCTTTGCTATTGTGAATAATGCTGCAATAAACATTGGGATGCAAGTATCTCTTTGAATCTTGATTTAATTTCCTTTGGATATATACCTAGAAGTGGAATTGCTGAATCATATAGTAATTCTATTCTTAGTTTTTTAAAGAATCTCCATACTGTTTTGCATGGTAGCCATAGTAATTTACACTCCCATCAACAGTGTATAAGAGTTCTCCTTTCTTCATATCCTGTCCAGAAATTATTTTATCTTTTGAATAAGAGTCATTCTGAGGTTTGGTCTTTTTCTCTTTTATTTACTTTTCTTTATCCCTCTTCTCTTTCCTTTGCTGATTTAAAACCATTATATTTTATTTTATTGATTATACTTGTTTTATTTATATATAAAAATGTGTTTCATTTTAAATATGTGACTTTAATATATATTTTTAATGAAGTCTAAAATTAAGCAATTTATCCAACTTCTTCTAAAACAATGTAAAGACTTTAGAGTGCTTTAACTCTGATCATTCCTTCCCATCTTCTGTTATTGTTATGGCTTGTTATTGCTATTGAGAATTTGCTTTCAGTCTAATTGCTATTCCTTTAAGTACTTTGTCCTTTCTGGTTGCTTTTAATATTTTCTCATTGCCATTTATGTTCTGAAATTTCACTATATAGGGAACATATATTTTTATTTATTATATTTAAGAATGATATGCTGCTTCCAAACAATGGCTCTGATTTTTTGTTAATTTGGGAAAATTCTTAACTATTGAAACTCCAGACATTGCCTTACCTTCATTTTCTCTAGTCTCTAGAGAAATACTAGGTGTATTTAAATCTTCTCATTCTGTCTACTAGTTCTCATAAACTTTCACATACTTTCCATCTTTTTTTTTTCTGAGTTGCTTTTAGAACAGTTTCCTCTGATCTTCCTTCTAGTCTTCTTATTCTCTTTTCAACTCTATTATTTAGCCCATGGATGTTTTTACCTAAATAACTGTATTCATATTTTTAGAGATTTAGGTTACTTGTTTTTCAGATAGGCTTGCTCCTTTTATAATGCCATTGTTTTGTGCTTTCTTTTATATCTACTGTTCATGGGTATACTTAATTGATGATTAGCTTTGGGTCATTCCATCATCTTTGTTTTGGAAAAAAATTCTATTTTTTTTTCTGAGACAAGGTCTTGGTAATAATAATACCAATATCTTGGTAATGATAATCCTCCTATCCCGAGTGCTGGGTGGAGATATTTTCTAACTGTCCCATTTGGTAACACTTTCTCCTGTAGTTTTAACCTATTTTGGAGTCTAAGGGCAGAGCATATTGAAGTTTATATTTAGTGGCATGTTCTTACAGAAATTCACCTTCCTGATGTTTAGGTCTCTTTTCTTATTTTTATCTGTGATGAGAAATTTTCCAAAAGTAAAATATTCCATTGTGAATTGACATACTAACTATTTCACAAAAATTAAGAATAGGGCTGACTGTGTAGTCCAGTGGTAGAGGGCTTACATAACATGCATGAGGTCCTGGGATTAATCTCCAACAAGAGAAAAAAATGAAAAATAATATTATGCTTTTTTCCCTGCACTTCTACTACTTGACATTCTAGTTTGTTTTCAAGTAATATTTATTTTGACACCCTCACTCTTGTAAAAGCCCAGCTGTGTATAATCTCATTTTTCCTTCAAGTTTTGTTAGTGGTTTGTCAAGCCTCTACCCGCTATTCCCATCCCAATTCGCTCCACCCCATATGCAAACACATATCTACTCACACAAGGAGGCCAAGTTGATTCTTGGAAGGCATATTTGGTTTAAACAATGAATAGACTGCTATGTATTTTTCCAATAGGTCCAGGAGGCCAAAGTGACCGAAGGGAAACTCAATGAGGCCCGAGAGTACTATCGACCAGCAGCTGCCCGAGCCTCTCTTCTCTACTTCATCATGAATGACCTCAGCAAGATCCACCCAATGTACCAGTTCTCTCTCAAGGTAACTTTGACCTGAGTTTTCACATAATCATAATAAAGCATGATAACGCTATCTCTATGAGATTCTGTCCATGTACTTCATTAGCAATGGCAGGTCTTAAGATCAAAGTCAGAGAATGGAGAGATGGCTCAAGTGGTAGAGCACCTGCTTTGCAAGCACCAAGCCCTCTCTATTACAGTCCTCATGTCTTTGACTGGGTCTTACGTAACTCATTGGAGTAGAAGGGATGCTACAGTAAGTCTTGGCCTCATTCATTCAGCAAGCACATTCAATATGGTTTACTATGCATATTAGATATGTAGAAGAGGACACCATAGAAATATAAGTGATCTCTGTCCCCAAAGAGCTTAAAATATAATGGAAATTATCAAATATGCATATTGTTTATGTTGGTGAAAAGCCAACGCTGGCAATCATTATAGGCCAACTTCAAATTACTTTCTTTATTACCTTTATATCCCCAAAGCTACTACTTTATGGTTGTTGAAATATTCCCCAAACCAAAGTTGTTAGCAAATTGTAAGTACTGACTAAATTTATCTTACTCGTGAAAAAATAAAGACCTATAAATTTTAAGTGAGCTCTGAAAGTACATCTTATCCTCTAGTGCATTCATCAAAAGACCATAATTAAAGAAGCATTCAGAGGTGTGGAACATTTCTGAACAACTTCATTGGTTTGACCCAACAGACAGAACATGTACACAAAAAAAATGGATAAGAAAGAGAGAAAATATGCATATAGACACACAGATTTCGTACACATACATAATACATACATTCACAAACACACACACAGAGTTCACACCTTGGATCTGCGAAACGGTTCAGGCTAAATCAACATATGAAATTCAAGGTGTGAGGATGACAGTGAGCTCTGGAGAAATCAGAAAGCCACTAGTACCAAGGACTCATTTATTTAGAAATGGCATTTCATCATTTCCCAGCTCCTTTCCTGTTACTCAGTTTCTACAGATTAAGTTGTGTTTGCAAATGAATTGTGCCTATGCTATTTTATATTCTTTGTTTAAAAGGAACTCATTACTTGCCTTGTATACAGATCATAGCACCAGATGAAAGATTATAAAGATATTAAAAGACCAGTATAAGTTATCATGAGCCTAAGGACTACAGACCACCTCTGTAGTTCCAAGAGAAGTTGAAACTAACTATAGGTATCTATAAGAAGCCTACCACAGCGACTCTTTCTGAAAACTTGAAACCCATGAAAATATGTGTTGTGTCCAAAAATAAATTGTAAGTTGTTTTGAAGCAATAGCATCCTAATGTAAGAAACCCTGAAGTACTAGTTTAAAAAAGGATGAAGTGCATTTCTGGGCCCCATGTTGTTACTTAAGAATTGCAAAGGACAACTGTTTTTTACCAAGTTGACCACTGAAAGCAGATTTAAATGCTTCATGACTCCAAGGGAAGGATTTTCAGAAATATAAAAACAATAATGTATTAAGAAGTTTTCTGTGATTTAAACAAAAATGGCCACTGGAATTTTCCTGGTTTTAGTTTTTATCTGAGGTTGGATTTTCCAAGTCCCATTTCTGGCAGAGAGAGGAGAGAGATACTTAGAGTTTGGGAACTCCAGATGGGTCAGTATGCTAGGAGCTTTCAAAGGGTTTTGAGCAAGAATATATCAAAATGTGTGTAATTGATTTTATATAAGCAAAAACTCTTCAAGATCCAAGTTTTGTGTGAACTTGGAAGTTCATAATATGGTTAAGATGGAATTAAGCAATTACAAAGAAATTTTTCTTCAAGACTCAGCCAAAAGCTAAGAGAGGGTTAATGAAACATGCATGCAAGGTGCTGTGATATCATGAGTGAGAAGACACATGACTTGGGGTCTCCTGCAGACTGTTGGCTTCTCTCACTGCAGAGAGGTCTGGGTGGAGGCATCCCATTTCTCAAAGAATTCAGAGAAGAAAGCCTCAGATAGCAGAAGCCAGAAGAACACAGATCTCTGATCTCAGGCCAGAGGCCCATGCATTTGCCAACCTATGCTTTTTGATCCTCAAAGGGCGTTTCAAATACTTTAAATGGTTACTCATATTTAAAAATAAGAAGTGGGCTGGGGGTGTAGCTCAGTGATACAGTGCTTGCGTACTAAGCACCATGCCCTGGGTTCAAGTCCCAGAACCACAAAAAGTAAAAATAACCCAAAGAGAATTCACACAAATTTCACTTTCTGATTTTTCATAAAAATAGGAAGGTTGGCAACACTTCATTCAGTTTCCACACATCATGGATTTACTGGAGCTAAGGCCACTGCTCCCCAGGCGGTACACACCCTTTGTGTTGTGGCAGCCCCTCCCCTTCCCTCCCGTTTGGTCTTTTACTCCTGGCTCCTAAAGGTGTTTGAGTTTAAGACCCTTAGTCTCAAGCATCCGTCATACTTCTCCTAAGTTCTTCTGGACATTAGCAGGTCATAGTCATTCATTCAACAAATATTTTTCAATGCCTATTATATGTGAATAACTGATAAATATAAAGGGAGTAAAGCCTGGCCCCTTCCCTCACTGTGTTCATGTTATTTTCATAGAAGAGAAAGGATAACATTTTCAGGAGGCTGGGAGCATGGCTCAAGTGGTAGGACACCTGCCTAACAAGCAGGAAGCCCTAAGTTCAAACCCTTTACCACCAAAAACAAAATTCCTAAGACACTAGGCAATGGGTCTGGACCCTTAAAATGTTACAGTCGCTGATGAGTATCTTGGAGGATAGCTTCAGTCAACAACCAGACCATGTGGGCAGAAGAGACCTTCTGGAGGATGTGCTGGATGAGAGAGTCAGGCCCAACAGCAGAAGCGAGAGAAACATGGAGGTGCTTCTTAGGATGGGAAAAAAGGCAGCCAAAATGAGCTTAGAGTAAAGAAAATGCTAAATGTAGCCAGATTCTTGTTTGCTTGCTTGTTTTCCTTAGCTCTTTTCCTGAATTATAAATCACTTTACTCAAACTCAGTAACTAGAGATTCTTTACTCATCACTGTCATTTTGATAAAGATAGTGTTTTAGAGGAAAGACACAGTAACCACCTTGGAGAAGGCTATCTGTTCCATCTCTGTGGTCCTGTTCTCCAAGTGAAATCTTCCAAAACTGTTCTCTGTGGTCCTAGGGGACATTATCAGCCTCTAATGAGCTATTACTCCATTTAAAATCTGCCAAGTGAAGGTAATCATCACAATGGATTGGGTTGAACATGGGCTGAAGATTTTGCTGAGATCATCAAAGGTAAATGAAGAAGAAGGGTTCCAAGAGCTTTGTTAACAAGAAATGCCATGGAATGGGGAAATGAAAAAAGAAGTTCACATCATTTTCCTATTTTGCAAATGAAGAAACAGTGAATTTCAAATCATATATGGCTTCTACTGATTTTCAAATACTTGGTGTTAACACGATGTAAGTGTTTTTTTTCTTCTCCTTTTTCTTCTTCTTCTTCTCCTTCTCCTTCTCCTACTTCTTCAAGCTACAAAAGAAAAATAAAGAAAAGACTGAATGGCCAAAAAATTTTAAAGTCCAATTAAATCTTGGTTTTCATTTCCTTTAATGATTTGTTCTAGATATAACACACTTAAAATGTAGTATTCCAAATGTTTGGATTTTTTACTCATTACCTAAGGTTAAAACAACAGAACATTGATGCATATGATTTTTATTTAATATCATACCCACAATGAGTAGCACACAGGCAGGCTCTGGTCCCACCACTACAGTAAGGGGCCAGGGGAAAGAAGGACACTTGCAAGGACCCACCAAATGACTCCAAAGCTAATAAGAAAAAAAAAATAACCTCTGAGATTCTGATCATTATCAAAAGGAGAAATCATTAATTAAAAATATTCTCACTTCTGCTTTGTAAGCATTAAGCCCTGAATTCAAACCCCAGTTCCACCCAAAAAACAAATCAAAAAATATTCTTGCTTCCTAATATGTGAAGGGGTTAGTTTTAGACAACAAAGTTGTACAGAACATTGTTTCTGCCCACAATAATTTTATTGTCTATTAGACAGCATCATTAATCCGAACTGGTCATTGTTGAATATGTCTACTTTGTATTCAGTTCATTAGTCAATAAAAACTTACTGGATTTAAGTAAGTTTTGGCTATTGGAAATTTATTCTTCACTGATCTAAGCTCTGTATGCACCTGTCTTAGACCATTTTCTTTTACTATAACACATTACCATAGACTAAGTACATCATAAAGAAGGAAGAGAGCTGGTGGCTTAGCTCAAATTTTGCGCACCTACCTAGCAAATATAAAACCTTGAGCTCAAAACTCAGAACCACCAGAAAAGAAAAAGAAGAGAGGCTATTTTAGTGGCTATTTTGACTTATAATTCTTGGCCTGAGGGTAAGAAACTATGTCTGGTGATGGCCTTCTTGCTGGCAGAGTCCTAAAGTGGTTGTAAGATATCACATGGTAAAACCTAGGAAGCCCATGTATGTCCTGGTCTCTCTCTTTCTAATAAAATCACTAGGATTCAATCATGGAGGTCCCACTCCGATGACTTTATCTAATTCTAATCACCTCCCAAAGACCCCCCACCTTGAAACACCATAGTTGGGTTTAGTTTCTACCTTCTAAATAATAAACTCCAACATGAGTTTTGGAAGAGACAAACATATTCATGCCATAGCAGCCCCATAACAATGTAATAATGCATATGGGCAAACTAAGAGCTAGTTGTATGTCTGGTTACCATTGTCTTTTCTTGGCAATGTAAGCTGAGAAAACGTTTCTTTGAGTGGGCTGGAAAATTATAATGTTCTTCACAGGCAAAATCACTCATATATGCATTATGTGTAAATTGCCAATATGCTACCATCTGTCCTCAGGCCTTCAGCAGCGTCTTCCAGAAGGCTGTGGAGAGGGCTGTTCCCAATGACAACCTCAAAGAGCGGGTGACCAACCTAATTGACAGCATAACCTTCTCTGTGTACCAGTACACTACCCGTGGGCTCTTCGAGTGTGATAAGCTGACCTACCTTGCCCATCTCACCTTTCAGGTAAAAGACAATTGAAAATGTTTCCAGAAGGCAGGTCATTTTTACTGTCCAATCATCAGGTGCTAAGGAACTTTTCTTTTTTAGTCTCACTGCCCAAAGTGTGAACAGACTATCTGTGTCTAGGTGGAGACATCAGGCAAGAAGTTTCAATATGGTGCACACATGCTACCCCACCATTGTTCCATTCATGGCAGATATGCTAATCAACCATTGTCCCACTTATGGCAGGCATCCTTAACTAATCATTGCACTTTTTTCTTGCTGATCCTGAGTGGTCTAAGATCCTTCTCAAAATATCCCTGCAGTAACCACTACCAGTCAAACAAAACTGTCAGGGAAGATGAAACAAGATGGTTCTTCCAATAGCTACATGGGTTCTCAGATGCCATGAGAACTTTAGTCCCATCAATGTTTACTTTTAGACTGATCAAATCTCCCCCTGGAACAAGAAGGTTCTCAATGACTTCGGAACTTCAGCAACTTCCAAAGTCTTTGAGGCGAAGCCTTGGTCCTCTGTGTGATCTCAGCATCAAAAAGCCATAAAAATTTACTTCCTTGAACTTATCTTCCTAGTGATCTAGAATTAGGATTTTTCAATATATAAATTGGTAGCTGGTCATTCCTCTAGTCTGGAACCCCTTTCACATTATTGATTCATATACACATTTCTATTTTGCATATATTCATACGTCACTTTGACACTTTCTCAAATCAAGTTATTTGTATGTGTCATTTTTCCAATTAAATTGCAGGCACATAGTCCATGGCATTTATGACTGATACATAATAAATACTTACTAACCAAGATATATAGTCATGCACTGTGTACATTTAAGTCACTCTGGTATTTGGAGTGAAAACAGATGCACACAGAAGTAATTTGCATGGATATACACTTTCTTCTACTCCACTCTCTTTTAAAGCCAAATGGATGGATAACCTCTAGTGTTACAGGCAATCCCCAAGATATCCAGGACCCTGTGACCATCACGAGAAACACAGTGTTGTTTTTCCACATTGCAGATTCTCCTCATGAACCAGGAAGTCAATACAGCAGAGTTGGATTTCCTGCTCCGATCCCCAGTAAGGACAGGCATCCCCAGCCCAGTGGAGTTCCTCTCTAATCGAGCATGGGAAAGCATCAAGGTCAGTGCTGGTCCTTAGGGGAAAGTCAACTTCTTACCTCAGAGTTTTCCCTGCCACACTCCCCTATGTCCCCATGACACCAGTGGGGTTCACTTTTGGAGTTTAATCATGGAACTGAGTTGAACATACGTCCATCCCTTTCCTATGACCCCCCCACAATAAGCTCACCCTCCCCAGGTATGCAGAGGAAGAACAGGTGTACTCTGATGTGAGATGCTTTGCCTCCAGGGTAGGAGGGAACAGGAAGTCCCCACATGCTACTCTGAGTTACCCACCAGGGCCTAGGGCTGCAACACGGGCTCCTCAGTGAGTACGGGTTGCTGATGTGGAGCTGCTGTCACACCATTTCCAGAAAACATGAAGGTATGTACATTTAAGTCACTCTGGTATTTGGAGTGAAAACTTCTTGTGAATATGAACTCAGACTCCAAGTAGGGGATGCATTAGCAGTTATTAATGGTTCACTTCTATTGAGTGACTGGAAATGAGTGCTTTGAAAATATCTTCTGCCTTTTCATTTCATGTCCATCCAGGTGAATAAGTACTATTTGTTCCTATTTGACATAAGGAAACTGAGTTCCACCACTTACAAGTAGCAAAGCCAGGACACACATTTTGGTCTGTCTAATGGCAAAACCCATTTTCATTCCATGTGCAGCTTAGTTTAGTTGGGATCCTATGAATATTGAAAAGATCACACACTGTAAGGTCCTTTCAGTGGGGACTTTGCCTGCAACCAGAGAGCCTGACATGGGCTGGGGATGTAGTTCAGTGGTAGAGTGCTTGCCTAGCATGCACAAGGCCCTAGGTTCAATCCCCAGAACTGCAAAAGACAAAAAATAAGCAAGTAAGAAAGGTTGACAGAGAGTCTGACATGAGAACCGGCAGGCAATGTGGATGACTAACTCCTAGCTCCAGAGTGTCCTGGCCCATGCTCCATATGGGGAGCTTTCCAGTCCATATGTGGACGACACTCATGAAATAGCATCTGCATAAGATGAATCCTGTTTATGATCTTCCATCTTTGTTGCATTTTACAAGTGCTGAATAGCACAGAGAAATCTGAATATAAAATATGATTGAACTTTTTCTTTGTATTTCTTATTCAATTGTTTTTATTTTGAGGTAATTGTGGATTCACAGGTATTTGTAAAAAATAATTCAGTTTCCTACAATTATAATATCTTGCAATACATTAGTACAATAATACATCCAGTAAATTGACATTGACTTATCTGTGGATCTTATTCTGATTTCACTAGTTTTACATGCATCATGGGGGGGGGTGGGCAATTGTTTAGTTTTATCATATAGGTAGATTTATTTAATCACCATTGTAGTCAAGAATTCATAAAGTTCCAGCATTACAAAGATGCTTAATATTGGCCTTTTATAATCAAAACCACTTCTTCCATCCCCTAGCTCCTAATAATGACCAACCACTAATCCGCTATCCTATTTGTATACTATTTATATAGTATAGAATATTCCAGGTTAATTGACTAATGCTACCATTACTCAAAATATTTTCATAACCTCATTTGCATAGTCTATAGCTGTTCTTTTAATCTACTTTAGAACTGTATCTAAATCAAGAGTCATCAAACTCTGTCTCTGCAAGGTCACATAGTAAATATTTATGCATTTACTCAACCATACCAGAACCACATACAGCATGGAAATGGACATGACTGAGTTCCCATATATTTTTATTTACAAAAACAGGCAATGGACTGGATTGGGCCTACAAGCTGTAGTGTGTTGATCCATGAATCTGAATATAAAGGTGTCATTTGATTTTTGTTTAATTCCACTCATCATTCTGAGCCCAATCTACTAAACAAGAAGGGGGATAATATATTGGTAGAGAAACAAGGAAGTATTCAATTCACAATGGCAACCAAAATCACAAATTTCCAAATGTCTAAGAATAATTATAATAAATGCAGAGATCTGGAAAACAATCAACTTTCCTAGGCCACATCCTATATGAATGAGTAGTACATGCCAGAGTAGCAGTGGCCAAAAGAAACAATGCATACCATGCATGTAACTTTAAATTTTCTAATAACCATACTAAAAATATATGAAGAAATGGTTTGTTTTAGTTTTAATAAGATAAATAAGATATTTTCTTTAACCCAATACAGCCAAAGTATCATCATTGTAATATGAATATTCTAAAATTATTGTGTTAGTCAGCTTCCATCACTGTGACAAAATGTTGAAGGTAAGCAACTTAACAGGAGGAAGTGTTAGGACTGGGATGGAGCTCACTGGTAGAGAGCTTGCATAGCAGGTGCAAGGCTCTGCATTTGATTCTTAGCACACACACACACACACACACACACACACGCCCCTTAAAAGGAAGAAATGTTTCTTTTGGCTTATAGTTTCAGTCCATGATCACTTGACACCATTGCTTTCATTTTTGTTTTTGTTTTTGTTTATTTTCTGTTTGATTTTTATTTGCATAAATTAATTGTACAAAGGGATTCCTTGTGATATTTACAACTTGAATATAACGTCCTTTGATCAAATTTATCCGATCTACTACTCTTTCTTAACTACTTTCCCTCCTTCTCTCCTCCTTTTGAATAGTGTTTGGTAGGTATTGCTGTTTTAATACACATATGTAAGATACTTCTATAATATTCACCCTCTAATTTCTCCCCTCTTCCCCCCACTTCAGCTCCCCCAAAACAGTCCCCCCTTTACAATCATGTCACTTTTTTTAGGTCTTCCACATAAGAGCAAAAACATGCAATAGTTGTCTTTCTGAACTTGCTTACCTCACTTAACATAATTATCTCAACTTCCATTTTCCTGCAAATGACATAATTTCATTCTTCTTCAAAAATACTCTATTGTTTGTATGTACCACATTTTTTATCCAGCCATCAATTATTGACCACCTAAGCTGGCTCTATATCTTGGTGGTTTTGTTTTTGAGACAGTCTTTCTATGTAGCCCATGATCCTCTTGCCTCAGCCTCCTGAGTTCTAGAATTACAGGTTTAACCCACCACTCCCAGAAGCCCCATTGCTTTGGAGTCTGTTGAGATGATACATCATGGTACAAGCATGTGTCAGAGGAAAGCTGCTGACCTCATGGCATCCAAGAAGCAAAAAGAGAGACAGATTTGGGGTCAGAATACTGATAAAATTTTCAAGGGCATTCTACCAATGATCTACCGTCCACTAGGCCCCACCTCCTAAAGGTTCCACTCTCTCCCAATAGTTCTACAGCTTGGCAACCAAACATGAATGAAGCACATATGAATAAAAGAAAAAAAAGTAAAAAATATATAGAAACAAGAAAGGCTACAAATGGAGTTATCAGTACAGACTTGTGGTATACATGCATACTGTGTATGCACACTGTTTTTCCTTTTAGCTCTAGTCACTAAACAGCTTAATGGCAATGCTTACACCATTGAAAATGAGTATCTAATTATTGGCTTCTAGATATAATTCTCCATTAAAATAAACCAAGAGAAATTGCTGATTTCAGGGTTATGTATGGCAAAGTACAAGATGAGCCTGATCAATGCTTTCCCACTGGAAAGTGAGGGAATACTTAAAGAACTATAAACAAATGTTAAAAGACACAGGACTCACTACCTTACAGGAGCTTCCACTGGTGAAATTTGGGGAAATTCAAGTAGAAAAATTAATAACTAAATACCAATTACTCATTGACTGAAATAAGAATTCATGAAATCAAATAGAATATATAAATGTTATAATAAAAGCTCTTCTTAGAGTAAAATAGAAACTAGTATGTGTAGTAGGAAGGTTAAAGTTGGGAAATCATCAATGGATGATAAAATATTCAGGGACACTCTACTAAGAAGTAGAATATTGAAATAGGCTTATACTTGTTCCCAGGAAGTATCTCATTAAAAATAATAACTTTATAGAGAAACTTGGAAGACACTGCTTTAAGTGATTAACATCAACATCACTCACATTAGAAAGTCATTGGGCTTTCTGAAAAGCACTGTGGAAGAGGTAATGTTATTCGGGTGTAACCTGTCCCAAATGCATGAGATAAATGCAGCAAAGAAGAAACATCAGAAATACACACAGTAAGAAACAACCTTTAAAACCATAAGACTATATTCTTTAAAAATATCGGAACAAGAATGAGGAAAGTCTGAAGAACAGATCCATTCTACAGGAAAGCAAAAGACAAAATGATCAAAATTAAGACATTTTCCTGGGTTAGATCCTGGTGAGAAATTCATATATACAATGCACATTAATGGAGAATTGTGTGGTCTTAGATAGGATGATTTTGTCATTTTTTTAGTTTTACTGCACTGAAGCTAAGGTCTTTATCTTTCGGAAACACATAATTATTTGGGGGTTATCAAAACTTTGTATGTAATGCAGAGGGGTAAAGAAAATATAACAAAATATTAAAAATTGGGAAATTTTTAATGCTAAACAGTACTATGGAAGTTCATTATATTATTCTTGAATTTTTTCTTTAAGTATGAAATTATATCAAAATATAGAGGAATTCAATTAGCATTATCTAATTAATACACAGTTTATTATGAAAGGTGAAGTAATGCCATCAAAATAACCTGATATATTTGTACAGAATGAGATTAGTTGGGGCAGTGGCAGGTATGATAGCAATATGTTCTTATCATTAGTATCTGCTATGACTATATGGGTATATATAATTGAATTTTCTTATCATTTGGAAAAAAATTTTTACAGACAATAAAATGTGTAAATACACTTACCACATGAAATGACTAAACAAAAAGATATACATTCACCACAGTAGTAGTTTTCCAATATACTTTCCTGACCCTATACTCCCCATTTATGCCCCCCAATCAAGATCGTACAATAACCTTAACTCAATAAATGATGTGCCAGGCACACTGTGCTGTGTATATTTATATGTAAATATACCTAATGGAACATGTTGCTTGAGGTGGTTGGTGAAGAAACTGACATCAAATAAATTACTCGAACATA